GTCCTAAGAAAACAACTTCATCCAACCAAAACTCACATTTCTTTAGTTTAGCAAACAATTTCCTTTCCCTAAGTATTTGCAGGACAGTTCTCAAATGTTGTTCATGTTCAAGTCTATCTTTAGAGTATATCAAAATGCATCAATAAAAACTACAACAAATTCGTCAAGGTAGGTTTTAAAAATTCACTTCATTAGGTCCATAAATGCTGCCGGAGCATTAGTCCCTGCAGGTCGACAATTCGCTCCAGCCATTCGGCGTACTGCATATTTTCATCAATAGCTACCCGGTAATAATCAATCACATGAAATGGGTCTCGGAGGTAACCCCTCAACATCGACACATGAAACACATTATGGATTTGTTCAAATCTCGGTGGCAAACCAACTCTATAAGTAACTGGACCGAGCCTTTCCAAAATCTGAAACGGCCCAATGTAACGGGGCGACAACTTGCCCTTCTTTCCAAACCTGACTTGGCCTTTCATTGGTGACTTACGAATAAACACATGGTCACCGACCTCATACTCGAGAGGTCTCCTTTGAACATCCGCGTAGTTCTTTTGTCGGTCCTGAGCTGTTTTGAGCCTTTGCCGAATGATCTTGATTTTCTCAGAAGTGTCTTGCACAATTTCAGGCCCAAGTAAAGCTCTATCCCCAACTTCTGTCCAACAAATAGGTGATCTACACCTCCTACCATACAAAGCCTCGTATGGTGCCATACCGATGCTGGAGTGGAAGCTGTTATTGTATGTAAATTCTGCAAGTGGTAAATAATCTTCCTAACTCCCCTGAAAATCCAAAGCACACATCCGAAGCATATCTTCCAAAGTCTGTATTGTTCATTCTGATTGCCCATCTGTCTGTGGGTGGAATGCAATACTGAACCTTAGTTCTGTCCCCATAGCTTCCTGTAAACTTTTCCACAATCTAGATACAAATTTCGGATCTCTATCCGACACAATAGATACCGGGACTCCGTATAAACGGGCAATCTCATCAACATAAATAGTAGCCAATCTATAAGCATTAAACGTGGTTCTGACTGGTAGGAAATGTGTAGATTTAGTCAGTCTATCAACTACAACCCAAATGGAATCCATATCTCGAGAAGTCTGAGGTAGGCCAACCACGAAATCCATAGTCACATGCTCCCACTTCCATTCAGGAATAGGGAGGGGTTGAAGTAAACCGCCTGGTTTCTAATGTTTAGCTTTGACTTGCTGACATTGAAGACATTTGGACACATATTCTGCAATCTCTTTCTTCATTTTAGGCCACCAATAAGTTTGTTTCAAATCCCGATACATTTTATTATTACCCAGATGCATAGCAAATACGGATCTATGGGCTTTATCTAAAACTCTTTTCTTCAGTTCCGAAATATATGGGACACATATTCTGTTCCGAAATCTCAACACTTCGTTTTCAATGCCAAACTCCGCTTTTGGACTTGTCTCAAATTCATCAATCACTTTCTTGAGAAATTTATCCTCCTTCTGTTTCTGTGTAATTTCTTCAATGATTGCTGGTTCGGCTGTAATAGCGGCTAGCAATCCGCCCTGTTCACATATTACCACTTCAATTTCAGATTTCTCAAAATCTTGCAAGATCTCTTTCTGTTCGGTAAGCAACCAAGCCATACTCCCCATTGACTTTCTGCTCAAGGCATCAGTAATTGTATTAGTTTTCCCGGGGTGATACTGAATCTCTAGATCGTAATCCTTTATCAATTCTAGCCATCTCCTCTATCGCATATTCAACTCTTTCTTTGTGAAAAAGTATTTCAAACTTTTGTGATCCGTAAAGACTTCACACTTTGCTCCATACAGATAATGCCGTAGATTTTCAAAGCAAAAACGACTACGGCCAATTCTAGATCATGTGTTGGATAATTCTTCTCGTGTGGCCTCAATTGTCGGGAGGCATAAGCAATAGCCTTTCCGTTCTGCATTAACACACAACCCAAACCTTTATAAGACGCATCACTGAAATTACAAAATTTTCCGTACCTGAAGGTAGCGTCAAAATTGGTGCAGTAGTCAATCTTGTCTTCAATTCATAAAAGGTTGATTCTTTTTCACCATTTCACTCAAATGGTTGCCCTTTTTGTGTCAATTGGGTAAGAGGCACTGCTAATTTTGAAAAATCATTCACAAACCTCCTATAGTACCCGGCTAAGCCCATGAAACTATGGACTTCTGTCACATTAGTCGGTGTAGGCCAATTCACAATTGCCACTATTTTCTGCGGGTCCACTGAAATTCCTTCCTTGTTGATCACATGCCCTAAGAAAACAACTTCATCCAACCAAAATTCACATTTCTTTAGTTTAGCAAATAATTTCCTTTCCCGAAGTATTTGTAGGACAATTCTCAAATGATGTTCGTGTTCAAGTCTATCTTTAGAATATATCAAAATATCATTGATGAAAACTACAACAAACTCATCAAGGTAGTACAAATGTTACAATTATAGCAATTGGATTTCCATCCTACACCATATCAAGTAATAACATTGCCACTAAGCATACTATGATATATACACCATATCAAGTAATAACATTTCCTCCTCACATGTGGAGACTATTTGGCTAAAGGATGTCCATATGACTTTCCATCTTACATGACATGTACAGCAAAAACTTCTATTACATGAACAAAACTATGAAATACTGCCAAGTGTCATTTTTATGTATATGTTCACCTGAAGATTCTACAACCACAAAAAAATTACCTGTCTTAAGATAACAACTAAGCATTTGATATCTTTTATTGACAGTGGCTTCTCCTGCTCATAAAACTCCTCATTATCAACTATCATAAGCATGTGCCTGATCCATCAAATAAGTGCGTTAGACTTATTCCCTCAACTTGTGCCATAAGTTCAAAACCTCAGACATACCACATACTGTCATCAAATTAATTCAGACAACTGTAAAGAAATTACGATCAAAACTGAACATAGAAGCAGCGTTCTTACTTGTACACAGGGCAGAAAACTGACAAAGGTAACAGCCAGCCAGGTGCATCTCCCGGCAGATATGATAATTGCCCAGACAATGCTGACCACATCTGATTCTCATGGCATCGCTTCATGAATTTCCATATTACAGGAACAAGCTCTGTTCTATAAGCTAGTACAGTCATAACACGCTCAAGGGGTAAAATGTTAAAAGTCACATGCAAGAAAGCACAAGCAGCACCAACAGCTACCACCTCTTTACCATGAGCCCCTTCTTCATATGAACCATTGAAATCGAAACACTACAGCAAAAGTTCAGCATGTAGCAAATTGAGGTAGGACACCTCGATTGTAATTTAGTCGTTCCGATAAGAAATAATCACTTAAATTGCAAATTGATTGTAATTTAATCGTTCTTGTTTCTACTTGTGAAGATTGAGCCAAAACTGAAGAATCCTGGTTGTTCCCTATCAACCATGCAATGATAATTATGGTCAAACATGGCTATTTAAGCACAATCCTATAGGAATATAAATAGAACATAGGAATTAACACAGTGCAAAGCTATAGCATTGAATATTTTTGAAATGGAATTACCTCAACATTTCTTAAGCTGAGTGCGCTATCAACATCATCTGTTGTCAACATTTCTTAGCACTGAATATATATATATTAATTATGGGTCCTTGTGAATGTTGACTTGATGTTGTGTAAGATAACTCTTCACAGTTTTCTTCAAATGAAAGTAGAAAATTTAGGAGCCCTTTCACAAAATAAAACGTATCTGTACATAATGCAATAAGGGAAACTGATGACCACAATATTCGAAAAAATAATTAAAAAACATGTAAGAAAAATACCTATATTCACAATGCTCAGGCCATGCACAACGAACTTTTCCATAATCCCAATAACAGTCATCTTCCCTCAAAGGTCACGCTTAGCTGTTCCATGTAAAATTTAAGAGGTAAAACAATTTAATGAAACAAAAAGAACTAAGAAAGAAGAGATCCACCTTTTGTAACAAATTTTGATTTTGAATCAGGATAGTTATCATGCCACATCTCAAGCCACAATTCCCGCATTAGAACTGGAGATCTAACAATGTGCCTGTGATTTGCTACATGAAAGCAATTCCAACTAATTTTAAAGTGCCGTTATGATTGATAAAGAGAAGAAACAAACTAGAGTAAGAAAAGAACTAGATCTATCTATATGGGTCTTAGTTCTTTCCTAATGTTTAAAATTGTGAGGAAACTATAATACGGTCAAATGTTTGTGGGCTGTGGTATAATCTGTAATGCTATTACTCAGATGAAAGGAAGACAGAGAAGCTTTTACAACATTTTTTTCACTATGCTAAGAGAATATCAGCATAAATTGTACTTCATGTTCTTGTGGAATTTAAGCGAGCTAACGTTATTTCAGCAAAGATTATTTCATATTTTTTTTGTTGAATATGACCTTAAAATGCAAAACTTGCTTTCCACAACCCGTGACCTTGAGATGTAGCCATAATTTTTTCTTACTATTTTACTACCCTTGGAGCACAAACCAAAAACTCATTTATTTGGCTATAAGGTTCATTCATCATGTTTAAGGGAAATGATACATACAATACATGTGAACAGATAAATATGCGTGAAGTGTATAATTGATTGCTAGATACATTTACTTTCTATTAACAAATAACATATTAGATATTAGATAAAATAAAACAATGAAAAGTCTAATATTGCAAACCCAGACATTTTATAACAGAGAATTTTCACTCATTCTCAGCAAAGCATTTCCTTTAAGCCAAGTGTAAGTATTTACTGAGCCTGAAATCCTTTGAAGCCACTGTTGTCCAAAATTGCATACAACAGTTAACGTGATTTGTAAGACATTTTACATACCCTTGTCAAGCTCCCAAACTGCTGTTCTCTTTCCAGGAAGACTGTCAGAGTCTTCATAATAGGTTATGTACTTTATAGTTAACCCAATTGAGCAGTAAGAGACAATTATAAATCTTACGGCCATAAAAAAGTAAAGTTGCAGTCCTTCAGCAGGCCTATTAGCTTATTTCTCATGTTCTCAATGATCCAGGAGTGGTTACTATGTTTTATAGTTTAAGGTCCCAAACTATGAGATATGCTTTCTAGATAGGGCGGAGTGAAGCAGGAGGGTAAGAGAAAATGAAAATGAGCAGAGATGGTTCTAAAACAGCATGTCAAGTTTAAAAAATGAGCATACTAATAAACTAAAGTCAGTTGAAAAATGATCATTCTCCAAAGAGTGACAAAATAAACAATTTATTTTCAAATTACATGAAGCACAAACAAACAATTTACCAAAACAAGTCCAATTATGTTTGTAGGTTGCTCATAGTAGACTGGCACTCTTCTATGCCCTTTCTCCAAAATTAAATTCATCAGCTCCCTATTAGATATCAAGCATCATCATATATATGATCAAAACAAAGTTAAAAAAGACTTCAAGTAAACCTTCTATTCAAAAGTTTTCCAAAGCATGCAACACCTGTCAAGCTTGGCATTGATATCAACAGCAAAAGTGTCAGATATGGGAGTCATGGCATCACTGGCTGTTTTCTCAGTAAGCCCAAGTGCTCCAGCAATAATTGTTGTCTCATCATGTGTGAGTTCTCCACCTTTTCCAGCCTGTTTACAGGTAATCAGAAGACTATCAAGTCACAAGATAAAACAGAAGGAAAAAGAAGCTCTTTGCAATGGAGTTTGAAGTGAAAAATAAAAATGGGATAACATTAACTTCGGGAGACGTTTTTATAGACGAGAAAATTAAAATTCCTGCAAGCAGCACATTTTGTAGGAAAAAGGGAGGAGTATTGGATGGATGTTTTAAGGATTCCTCAATTGGAGACCTTTTTTTTCTTTTGGGGTTGGGTGGGTGGCGGGGTAGCGAGGGATTCGTTGTTTTTCGTGGCCTCGGGC